GTCATCGAATCATCGGGAGAGCAACACAAGCGGTAAAAGCAGAAGATTTCGAGCTTTGATAAGTCATGCGAATTCTTGCTGCTCGTGTAGCTAACGTAAATTTCGTCTTTTTAAGTTTTTATGTGCCTCTGTTTTATCATCAATGGCTTAACGAGTCATCACCGATTCGTCTGGAAATCTAAAGTGAAATTTTGCAGCATTTTTGCAGAGGAAGAAATGCGTATCCTCGATCTCGGAATTTCTTCACTTTAAACAAGAAAGGTGCCTCCTTTTTCCCCTGTCTTCTACTCTGCACTTAATATGTGCAGAGATCGTCTCGTGGGGATTCAATTCAACCCCAGATTAAGATAAAATTGAACTACTTTGATTTGAAAATCTGATGAGAGCTTTGGTTCACTATCCGGATAGTCACATTTGCTTGTAAATTTACTCCAAAGTAGTCACTTTGTTTGGTGAATTAGTAGTTTACTTTTAGATTCAGTGATGAAGAAAAAGAGTGTGAATTGGATTCAACAAAAATTAAAAAAGGGACCTTTTAGATTTGGGTGTTGATGAGCTTGAATTTGCTTCCATTTTTTTTTTCTAGAGGACCTTACAATGGAGGAAGAAGCTGAGAGGAAAATAGGCTGGTTGCTGAAACTTTTCTTTGCTGGAACGGCAACATATGTCGGATACCAGTTCTTCCCTTATATGGGTATATGAATCTCTATTTCAAATCAGCTTTTACATTTTTTTGGATTGCAAATTTTCGGTGTATACTTTACTGATGCAGCATTTTTACTGGTTTAGGTGATACTTTGATTCAACAATCGGTCTCGCTTTTACATGTGAAGGATCCCTTGTTTAAGAGAATCGGAGCTTCTAGGCTTTCTCGTTTTGCCATTGATGGTAAAGCTTTTCGAATAACTCAAATTACTCTCTGATGGACTGGTGAAAAGAAAAGGATTTGAGTTATACTTATTTGGTCTCACCGGTGAACTTGAATCTCGCTGATATGTTGTAATCGTTTGGTTTGGTCTATAAAGATGAAAGGAGAATGAAGGTTGTTGAGTTGGGTGGGGCTCAAGAGCTTCTACATATGTTGGGGGCTGCTAAAGATGACAAGACAAGGAAAGAAGCTCTAAAGGCTCTTGCTGCTCTCTCTAAATCAGGCAAGTCTTGTTTTCACACATTCTTGTAATGCCTTTGGTCTCTTATGTCGAACATGATCTTTTGCGCTTCTTCTACGTTTGCATCTCAACAGATTGCATTGAATTTAAGGATCTCAGGATTGTTAACTCTTGTAATTTTCTTTGAGTATGCTTAAAGCCAAATGCATCTAGATTTTTAACTCTCCTTGGCTGCAGATGAAGCTGCCAACTTCCTGGGATCTAAAGGAGCACTCTCTATCGTCGAATCAACTCCAGATTCCTTGGAAGATACAGACATTTCAACTTACAAGTCAAACATAATCAAGAAACTAGATGATAAAAACATCGCCGCTTCTTCCAACTAAGGTACTCTTTTCAGAAAAGGATAGGTCAAGAATCATAAGTCTTAGTATCTCCATAATCCTAAGCTTTTTGAAGAACTGTATCATTTTATCTTCCTCTTTTTCAACTTAGAACTCTTCAATTTTTGTTCGGAAAGAAATGAATAGTTTGATTTAGATCAATCGAGCTTCTATTCTCAGTATTGCTGATTACTATCTGATTCGTATGTTCTTATCGTTTGAGTAATGGTGTACCAAAGGTAATTTAAGGAATGCGTTTTAAAGAATTGTAACATTTTATCTTTCTCTGATTTGAGTAGCAACAAATATTGCACTTCCTATAGCTTTTACATTGCATTTTCTGACAAAACCTTTTCACACAGATATACATATAAATCCTAGGCAAAGTTAATAATATTACAGATTTCTTTGAAGTGATCATAGAGGGGACTGTTTGCAAAACTTTTTTCAACGATTAATTTGCTGCGAGGCTGTATAAATTTGTTGTGATAGCGACGACGCTAGTGGCAAGAGCAAGAACAAGCATTATCAAAGCTAGGATCTTCTCTCTTGAGGTCGATACACCATGCACATTCCTGCCATATCAAAATCAGAAAACAACTGTTAAAGATTTTACAGGAATTTTGAAGCATCTGTTAGAAGTCTAGCAAAGGAAACAAATCTTCAGTACCTTAAAACAATGGCGGCTGGAAATATGAATGCTATGGAAACTGTGGTGGTTGATCCCAAGAACTGAAAGAAGTACCAAATGTCTGGTACCGTGATTGCAGACAAGAAACAGCAAATCAGTAGAGCCAGAGTGAGTCCGATGAATCTTGTTGTGTCTTTTGCCAATGATGGTTTCAAGGGGAACATGAGCTCATCGAGGTTTGCTCTCAACGAGAAGTTCATGAGAGGAAAGACGAGCATGAGGTGAAGCGCATAGCTGAGCCTAACAGTGTCATTGAGAAGAGAACCAATAGAAGAACCAGAGCTCTGGTCAAAGTTCACTAGAATATCCGACATCGTTGCATCTCCAAAGAGAAGGTACCCGAAGAGTCCAGTGGCAAAGTAAATCACAGCGCACAAGATGACAGAGATCTTAGTTGCCGGGATCACTTGTAACGGATCTTTGAGCTCGAATCCAATCGGATGAACTGCACATTTTTCAT